CGGGAGCGGGGCCGCGGCACGTAATCAGTCAATCAGTTAATCAATCGGTTAATTGGTGGGGCAATCAGGCCACAGAGTACAAGCGGTTAAAAGCTCCAGGTGAGGAGTGACACAGAGCTGGGTTCTAATCCCTCTTGGGCCTCTTCCTGGCGGTGTGGCCCTGAGCAAGTGAGGCCCTGCACACCTCGGCAGCCTCGGGTCTCCCAGCTGTGCAGTGGGGTGACAGCAGCACCTGCCTGCCGCGCTGACCCTCCGTGCCTGTCACCGTCGCCCTCGTCCATCTCTTCAATTCACGGGTGGAAAAGGGTGGCCCTGAGAGGGGAAGTGCCTGGTGGGCACGGAGGGGACCTGGGCAGTCCCCAGCCAGTGAACAAGCTCCACGAAATTGACTTCCTTGGGCCTGCTTTTAGTGAGCTGGAACATGGACTCACCGAGGGGACGCCACCCTTGACAGCACCGGGCTCAGTGGCCTTGCCTGCTCCCTTTCTCCTCCTTGCCCTTCTCCTCTCCTTCAGGTGTGGGGAAACTGAGTCCCAGAGAGACCAGATGGATGGCATGGCTGCCTAGACCTGGGAGGTAGATGCCAGCCCCTGCCCCGAAGCCATTCCTGAGCCCCACACATAAGGTCAGGAGAGCTGGGCAGAGGGAAGCACCTTTGTTAAGGATGGAGGACTCCTCAGGCCGCATCCTCGGGTCACCAGCTGGAAGGGGCTCTTGGCACACGCTCCCCACTCCCTGCAACTTCAAACCAAGTGTGTCGTTTAATATGCGAACTCTTGTTGGTTTGTTTGAGCACAACCCTTCTGACCGACCCCGGGTCCTCCCTGCCCGACCTCTCCCTCCCTGAAGCTGGCTGGTGGCTTGGGTGGAAGATGGTAAAGGGGCTGGTGGAACGTGCCCCCAGGATGGACTGGAGAGTCACAGGGCAGGTGGCTGTCTCTAATTTCAGTGGCCCCTTTAAGCCTGGGCTCCGCCCGTTGCCAGGGGCTGAAGCTCGAAGCTCTAATCTGGCTGCAGCAGTTTCTCCCAAGTCAGGTCCTGGGGTTGCCGCAGTGACAGGGACAGGCCAGACCTGCGGAGACTTCAGAGGGCTGGGGACAGCTACAGGGCCGCCCCCCATCCCCAGCCCCCCACACCAGGCAGGTGCATCATACACACACTTCTCTGTGCAACGAATACATAAACTCATCCTTCTCATGCAAACACTCCCACATGGCCCGGCATCGCGTGTCTGAGGCCTGTGGGCCCCCAGCCTGAGGCCTGGCCTGCCCGTGCCACCATGCCTCCTCTGCGGGAAGGAATTCTCCAGAACCCGGTGGCCCTGCCCAAAGGTTCTAGGCTCTATGCCCCATACCCTCAGAGCCCCAGGCCCCCCAGTGTGTTTAGAACCTGGATCTGCCTGGGAACTGATGGGAAGAAATGGGGGAGATGTGGTGGGGAGGGGTTGTCAGATCTTGAAGGTGGGGAGTGGTGGTCCAGATTCCCAGTGTGGTCCCCGGCTCTCCATGCTTGAGCTCGTCCCAGCTGGAAGTGTTCTCCCTCCCATTTTACCGGTGGAGAAGGTGAGGCCGGGAGAGGTAACAGGCCCAGGCTCCTCCAGCCAGTGAGAGGCGGGGCTGGGGTTTCTGCCGCATCTCAGGGGCCCAGGGGCTCTCACATGCTTCCACACTTGCAGGCTGGAGCCTTGGGCAGCATCCCGCCGTCTCTTCCCAGGTGCGGGTTTTGGGGTCCCCGAAGGCCTCCTAGGTTGGCAGGACAGCTTGCATCTCTGCCTGGCACACGGCAGGTGTCCCGCTCACACTCCCTGGCTCATGGCATCTATGGGAGAGGCAAGGAGGGCCTCGGTGTGGCTGTGCTGTCCAAACGAGCGGATCTCGCCTGGAGCCAGAGATGAGGCTGTGCATCTCAGGCAGCTCCAGGGGCAGGGAGGGCACAAGAGAGCTTCGAGTGGTTAGAGAGGACCAGTCCCTGAGACTCGGTACCCCCGTGTCAGGCAGGGCACCAGATGGGGAGCTGAGGCCTGGGATCCAGTTCCAGAACCAGCTGTGTGACCTCGGGCAAGGCCATCTACCTCTCTGGGCCTCAGTTAAAATAAGGGGGCTGTATTCCCTAATCTCCAAGGATCCTTCTAGATGGAATGGTTGAGGAATCTCTGAGCCTTTCCTCCTCCACCGAACCCCTCTTGAGCACCAGCAGCGTCACAAAGGTGAGCTGTGAGCTACAGGAGACCCCACTCCAGGGAGTGGGTGCCTGGTCTTGAGGGAGATGGAGCACAAATGACCCACGCCTGGCACTAGGCTATGTGCCAGTGGAGGTGATGAGCAGCTAACCATGGCCATCTGTTCAGCACCTGCTCTGTGCGTTACCCCGGTATCTTGTTGAATTGGCACGACAGCCCCATGCGGTAGGACCATTATTATGCCCATTTTACAGACGACGAAACTGAGACCCAAAGAGGCAAGCACCTGTCTGAGTTCCTACAGCTGGCAAGTGTGAGTCCAGGCACATCCCAGCCTTGGGACGCCGCGGCTGCCTTGATGGTTGTTAGAAAATCTTCCAAGGGGAGGCCTCCTAGGAGCTGAGTCTAGAAGGATCTTCCCAAGTGGGAAAGGAGGCAGAAGGGCAGGCCAGGCAGAGGGCACAGCCTGAACCCCGGCACGAGAGCGGCTGGATGTGGTAAGGACTGAGGGCTTGGCGTGGTGTGGTGGGCAATGGGGAGGGGCTGGGGACCTCCTGTCGGTGCCCAGAGCAGGTCTGCAGGATGCTGTTCCGGTCAACGCTGCTGTGTGACAAACCGTCCCAACGCAGTGGCTTCAGACAATAGTTATTATTGTGAGGTTGGGGTTGACGGGGTTCAGCTGGGGTTCTTGCTGGGGTCTCTCATGGGGTTGCAGTCAGGTAGCAGGGGGGCTGGGGGCCTTGGGTGGCCCCGTGGCTCATCTCGGTGCCTCCTATGCCCTTTCCAGCAGCCTAGACCGGATTTCTTATGTCACAGCTCAGGGCTCCGAGAGGCAGGAGGGGGAGCTGCCAGGCAAGTTAAGGACCCCCCTGGAGCTGTCCCACTGTCGCTTCCGCCATCCTCTACTGGTCACAGCAGCCACGTGGCCCACCCAGATTCAGGGGGGCGGAGAGACCCCACCTTTCACTGATGGGAGTGCCAAAGTATTTGTGGCCGTGTTTAATCCGCTGCAGATGCTAATAGATGTTTCATGGAAAAAGTCGAGTTCGTGGTTAAATACATTCCAGTAGGTTCTTTGCTGCGGGACTTCTCAGAGCCTTCACAGGCTGATGTGGACGGTTGGTCTCCAACCTACGGAGGGAGCTTGTAGAAGTTCCCAACGATTTTTGGGAACTGATTTTGGCTTGACTGCCAAGGGGGCCCCATCTCGGGTTGGGGGGTGCTGGGCCCTGGGAGCTGGGGGCTGAGGTTCCTTCTGTGCACCCCACTTTAGGCAACATCGCTCCAGAACCTCCAGATATGATGAGATGAAGTTGGGTCTGTTTCCGGCTGCTCCCGCCTTCCCAGAGCACTGGGTGTTGGGTGGTGGGGGGCTGCCTGGGTGTGCCAGCCAGGGCCCCCTCCCTCCGGCAGGCTGGGCCGGGTCCCACCAGCTCAGTGATCAGATCCTCAGATCACCCACCTGCCTCTTGCTTCTTCCTGCCTGGCCCCGAGAAGGGGGCTTCCTTCCTTGGGGCTCCTGGCGCTCCCCTCTCTGGGGGCCAAGGTCGAGGCCGACGGGAGCAGGGGGCAGGGGAAGGGGCCTTGCTGCCCGACAGTGTGACCCCACCCCAGTCTCCACCCAGGCTGAGCCTCGGTTTCCAGCTCATTCCCATGGGGTGATAAAGGCCCTTCTCACCAGTGGTGTGTGAGGCCACCACTCAAGGACCTGGTCTTTACTGGATGTCTACTGGGGAGGCAGGCCCTGCACCCTGCAAATTTCAGGCGGCAGCTCATGTCATGCTCTCTGGGCCTCAGTGTCTTCATCTGGAAAATGGGGATGGTAATAGCGCCCACCATGTAAGGCTCAGTGAGGATTAAATGGGCTAATGGGTGAAATTAAGAGATGGAGACCCAAGCCCACCCCACCTCAGAGGTCTCAGCCACAAAGGCCTGTGCGCACCTGGGCCTGGCTGCTGGCTGGTGTGGGTGCCCAGCGGGCGGTGCTAGTTTTCGGCCTCGTCTGCTGGGTGCGGTGCCTGTGCGACCCTGCGCAGGGAGGCAGGCCGTGTCCTTCCCGGGGAGCGGGGCCAACTGCCAGTGAACGCTGCAGCTTGGTGTGTCTCCCCTCCCCCTCTGCAGGCTGCTTCCTCCTCCCTCTCCCTTTGGTGGGGGGCCAGCTGCCACCACTGCTCCGGGAGACCTGGCCCTACTACCTGATGGCCCCGGGCAGAGGCAGGCAGGGGAGGGCTGGCTCCGCAGAGCAGGAGTCACAGAGCATTGCCCCTCCTCTCCCCTCCCTCCCTGGCCTGGACCAGCAGAGCGGCCCTGGGGACAGTCTCTGAGCCTCTCAGACAGATCTCATCACCGTCCAGCTGTGTGTCCTTGGGCACATGACACCATGCCTCAGTTTCCCCCTCTATAAGTGACCCCAGTGATGCTCTTGCCTCGAGAGGCTGGAAGGAGGACTCCATGAGATGCTGCCCCTACCTCCGCTCAAGGCAGCCCCAGCATCATTTGGGCTGGCACCTCCCGCCCCCTCAGGGATTCCAGCCAGAGCCCCATGGCTGGGGATTTGGGAAGGGGGGTGGAGGCACAGGAACAGGGTCCAGATTTTCCCCGCAGCCAGGTCAGAGGACCGAAGCTGGGGTGTGGGACATCCGGGGCCTCCTGGAGAGTGGGGAGTCCCCGGGCTGGTCCTCTGCACCGGCCCCTCCGTGCTGCCCACAGACATCCCCACGGAGCCTAGGAGTCCCCCGACTTCACCCTCCCATCCTGAGAACCATCGCCCACCGGATGCTCACAGCCGTCCTGCTTCCGCTCCTTCTCTCACCTCCCACAGCCTGCAGCCACTCTTCCTGCACAAGGGATCACACGTCTGCCCACCTCTCCCAGCCGCCAGCCCCCTCCGCTCCTGCATCTCCCGCCTGGAATGCTGTGCCAGCCTCTTCCCGGTGCCCACCCGGCCTCCAGGATGACCCCTGACCACCAGTGCTCCACGCAGGGCCCCGTGGGCCTGGGGAAGTGTCAGCCCGGCTCACCACGCCCCAGTAACTCCCGTCGCCCTGACCAAGTCTATTTCTTCCCTCAGCTTTGAAGGCTCCGGGACCAGGTTCCTGCCACCCCTGCAGCCTCCTGCCTCTCCACCCCCCACCCCTGCTCTAGCCAGACTGGCTACTTTCCAGGCCTCGGTGCCCTTGCACACACTGTCCAGAGGCCTGGAATGTTCTCTCTTATCATCACATCGGCTGTTCATTCTTTAGAACTCAGCGGAGGCTTCCCCTCCTCTAGAGAGCTGCCGCGGCCCCTGTGGCCATGGTCTGTTTACTTGTCTGATGCCCCCACTAGATTGTCCCTAATCCTCTAGCCCAAGGCCTGGCCGCCAGCTGGAGTCACCACTGCTGGTGGAAGGATGGCTCAGTCCCACCCTCTCCCCTTCCCGCCCTGCCCCCAGCCCCGCTCCCCACTCCTTCCCTGGGGCTCATTCTCCTTTCCCGACCTCATTGCTCTCTGCAGTGCAGCACTGTGCTAAGAGCAGCCATGCTGAAGTCACACACACCTGAGCCCTCACCCCAGCTGTGCCACCTCGTGGTGCTGAACCTCAGTCCTCCCGTCTGCAGAACGGGGAGAACATAGCACGACCGGCCTAGAGCTGTCGTAAGGGTTAAATGAAGAGCGTTTGTCACGTCCTTGGACATCACAGGACTTCAGTAAATGTTAACTCTTCTTGTTCTGCTGCTGTTGTGTGTTATCCATCTGGCCTATTAGCATCTCCTCCGAGCGCATGTCTGGGTCTCCTGTCAACGCAGCTCTCTGCTCCAAGCTGCCCACAACTTGAATCATTTCATCTTCACAGAGAACACTCAATGGCTCCCCAGTGCCTCTCCTGGGACATAGAAACTCCAGCTAATTTTCAAAGCTTTTCTGGATTTCCTGGTGAGACCACCCTGACTAGTGGCCAAAGACCTTCAAGGAGGAAGGGGCTTCCTCCCAGCAGGCCCCTCAACCCCTGCCCCCCACATACTCCACAGGGAGCTAGGTGACCCTGGGTGGGCGCTCACCTCCCAGAGCTTCTAGCTCCCTTGGCTGCAAAGCAGCGTTAATACCAGTGCTATGGTGAAGGTCCCTCCCAGGGCCGTGGGGGACAGGGGACACTGAGTGCAGAGGGCTTAGCCTGGAGTCAGCCCGAGCTGAGCCCTGGGGCCTCACAGCCCGCCTGGTCCAGCCCACAGCCCTCCCCCAGGCTCTGGAGCGAGGCCAGAATCCACACGCATCCTCTTCTTCTCAGAATCCCCTTCTTTCCAGGCTGAATATTACCCTGATTGTGTTGTAGGGAAAGGAAGAGAACATTTATTCTTTTTAAAAAAATAACATTTTTCTCCATTTACAAAAGTAATACATGTTAATTGTGGATAATTTTGAAATTAAGATAAACCAAAGAGAAAATTTGAGACGATCTATAATTCATCCCCTCTCTATAAGCACTTCGAGCGCTCGGCTTCGAGCCTCCCGACTTTGTCCCGAGTGAGCCACACGCGCTCTGCGTTGAGCCTGGGATGGGACCCCAGAACACACTGTTATCAACCTGGTTCTTCTATCGCCAGCAGACCCCGAACTTCTACCCGCCCAAGGGCCCCACCCCCTTATACTCAGGGAGCCGTCCCCAACCAGCAGCTCTTACAAGAGCAGGATCTCAGCCCCGGACCCCCAGAACCTGCATTTTCCCAGGGCTCCCGGGGGTTCCGAGGCACACCCCAGTTTGGGAAGCAGGCATGGGCCCCGTTGCGTGGATGTGCTCACACTTGTCGAAGCCAATCCTCCAATATTGAACGAGGAGCTGGTTTCCAAGTTGCGACATCATAAATAATGCTGCAGTGAATAGCATCATGAGTAGCTAAAACCCTGGGCACATTGTGGTGTTTTCCTGGAGCGAATGTTAGGGACCGTCCCTTAATTCTGCTTCTCCCACATTCGCTTCTCTTCTCACCGGAACACTCTGATGGAGTAGGGGCCATCTTCATCCCTGCTCTGCAGACGAATAAACTGAGGCTGGGGACAGGGGTGACGACACTCTCTGCGGTCCCACAAATGGCGGCCAAGCCCGGGCTCAACCCCCGGGCCTGCCTCCACGCCCGTCCCACTGACCTTTGCTGTAAGTGGGCCTGTGCATGCAGAACGTCAGCTCCTGGATGCACCGTGTGGGTCTCACGCCCACCCCGTCCCTGCTCAATGGGACCAGTTTGCCCTGGTGACAGACGAGGCGTGACAGCGCCATGCTTGGCTGGGCTGGGTGGGGGAGTCGAGCACCACAGGGGGCACCTCAAGGGGACATGGGCGGGGCTTCGGGACAGGGGTGGGAAATGGAGGAGTGAGGGGGCTGTCAGGTCACAGGGAGTGGAGCTCAGGCCCAGAAGAGAGGAGGGGCTGGGAGGGACATCGGCAGGAGAACTTCCGGCTTCCCGGTGCCCGTGGCGGGAACGGCAGCCATACAAGCGTGAATCCTTTTGGGGGAGACCCTCGGCGGGGAAGAGAATGCGGTGATGGCAGCAGATTCTATTAAAAGCCATTCTCATTACTGTACCGTTAATTATTAATGGGATCGGGCACATAAAGGATGGGAAAGCCCAGCTGGGCCTGACTCGACTCTTGCCTCCGGAGCAAATGGCTCTTGGTTCACGTCCAGCAGACCAGCCACGAACGTGCCTGTTGGAAAAGTGATGACGACCCCAAGGCCGCCACGGCGGGACGGGCCCCACTGAGATCTGCTTAACAGAGATAAAGAAGAGGAAGCAAGCCAAAGAAAGGGGACCCAGAGGAGACAAACTCAGAGCCTCTGCCCATCCTTCTGGGCTTAGCTTTTAGGCCTGGACACCCTGGGTGTCCCTTCCTTTAGGACGCGCCCGTGCACTCAGACAAGCACTGCAGACCTCATCCTCCTCTGAGCACTGCCCAGACCCCCGGTGCTCAGCCTCTAAAGAGACCCAGAGAGGAACTTTCTCCAAGTAGCAGCAGAAAGCACATGGAGAATAAGGCCAAGAGGCAGTGTCAGGTTTGGGCTGAGCAGACCCCAGGGAGAGAGACTTCACCCCTCTTTCCTGCTCCCATCGGCTTTATCCTCTCTGAACTCCTATCCAACCCTCAAAGCCCGGCTCAGAAGTCCTCTCCTCCAGGCAGCCCTCCCCAGTCCCAGCTGCACTAACAACCAAGCATACAGACACTGTCCCTGCCCTCATGGGGCTGCCAGTCTGACAGGAGTCTAGCGAGGTTGTTAATCAAACAACCGTCACAAACCGTGGTGACAAACAGACATTATGCTCTAAAGCAGAGAGATGGAAACCACGCACCATAAGGGCAGGAATCTTGACGATTCTCTCTTCCTCTCCCCGAGAACTGCCTGGTGCCTGGAGCAAAGTGGGCGCTCAGTAAATGTGTCTGATTTCCCAGACTGCTAATTGGGGGCACAGGAATGAGGTCTTCGAGATGGAAAGAGCCCCGGGGCAGGCAGCTTTGCAGAGCAGAGGGAGGAAGGGGCTGGGCCTGGCTTGCCTCCACTCCCGCATCCTTGCAAAGCTCTGCTGGATTATTGGCTGATTTATCCTGACATCCACCATGCAGCCAAGCAGTGAAGGCTCTCCTTTCTTTGGAATAATTAAATGTAAATGAACGAGTGAGTCTGGGCTTAAAAAAAAACACTAAAAACCTGTGGACTTCAATATAAAACGGCATCTAATGAGCAACGCCCTGATTCAGCCGTTCTCATTTTTCTACTAAATACCCGTGAAGGCAGAGAGAAAGACGAAACCTCACTCAGTGCGGGGAAACAGCTGCCAACCTCATGCCAGAGTCTGGGAGGAGCCGTACTGATGACAATGGTGGGGGACGGCGTTGGAGAGAAGCCTCAGGACACAGGGACAGGGACAAAGGTAGGAAGGTGCTCAGAGCATCCTCCATCATCTGTCCCCCTCAGTGACCTGGAATCTGTGCCATTCTGAGAACTGGACGGTTGTCCCTCTCCCAGAGATGCTCCTGGAGTGCGTCCCCTGGTCTTTCTGAGAATGTGGGCATGGGCTTTCACGGTGCATGGTATCCTGGGGGGGAAACAGGATGAGTGCAGGGGTGGGCGGGGAGCAGCAGGAAGCTCCCGGGTAGCAGTGTATGCTGGGATATTCTGTTCAGAATATCCAAGAACCAGACAGCGGGCGGGAGCGGATGCCACCCTCGCTTGGCAGAGCTGCCATTGGCAGAAGCCTGCTGGAAACTAGGAAATGGATTGAGCAAAGCCCCCTGGATTTCGTTGCTGAGACCAAACACTGAGAACGGGATTTAGCCATCCAACTAGGGGCAAGAGAGCAGGACCGAAGGCAAGCTACACGCCCTGTCTACTTGTGAGCGTGGAGTGTGGCTTACTGTCCTGCATTTGAGAGACAGCCCAGAGGAAAAAGCATCGACAGCACAGGACTGTGAGAAAACACTGTAGACCGTGGAAAAGGAATCGGCATTCTGCAACGCTGAAGAGCAGGCGGCTGACAGTGATTTCCTGGAGGAACCAGAAGAAGATGTCAGGAAACTGCTCAGCAACGTTAATGGAAAGACATGCTCTGCAGAACAGGAGCGGGAAAGCACAGGGCGGCCCCAAGAGATGTGAGAAGGCAGCAGAGGATATGAAAAGGGACAGGATGGTGTGGTGCATTGAATTATGGTCCCCAAAAAGATATGTCCAAGTCTGGGGCTGGCCCCGTGGCCGAGCGGTTAAGTTTGCGCGCTCCGCTGCAGGCGGCCCAGTGTTTCGTTGGTTCGAATCCTGGGCGCGGACATGGCACTGCTCATCAAACCATGCTGAGGCAGCATCCCACATGCCACAACTAGAAGGACCCACAACGAAGAATATACAACTATGTCCCGGGGGGCTTTGGGGAGAAAAAGGGAAAAAATAATAATAATAAAATCTTAAAAAAAAAAAAAAAAGATACGTCCAAGTCCTAACCCTTGGTACCTCTGAAGGTGACCTTATTTGGGAAAAGGGTCTTTGAAGATATAATTAAGTTAATCTCAGGATGATTAAGTTAATCATCCTGGATTAACTGGGTGGGCCCCAAATCCAATGATAAATGTCTTTGTGAGAAGAAGAGAAGACACAGACAGAAGAGGAGAAACAGGAGACGAGGCCACGGGAAGATGGAGGCGGAGACGGCAGTGATGCAGCCACGAGCCAAGGAAGGCCAAGCAGCGCGGGCAGCCACGAGGAACAGATTCATCCTCAGAACCTCCAGGAGGAACCAACCCTGCCACCACTTTTATTCCAGACTTCTGGTCTCCAGAACTGCGAGAGTGTACGCTCCTGTCATCCTGAGCCACCTGGTTGTGACCATTTGGTACAGCAGCCCTAGAAACTAATACAGACGGGGTTAGGAAGGATTGCACTGAAAGAAAAAGACATAGAAGCAGAATTCGAATCCATACTGGAGGAAGCAGAAAGCAGAAAGTGTCATGCAGAAAATACAGTCAGTGATGGGGAAGCCAAGCTCAAGACCGCTGCTAAAAGGTGTGGCAGAGAGCAAGAGATGAAAAGAAAGCGCGAGAAGGGGTTGAGGGTGAGGAGGCAGCAAATACAGAGCTGGGATTCTGGAAGGAAAGGCCAGGATGAGAGAGAACTGCGAATATAATGAATGAAAACTCCCCTGTGCCTTAAAGTGAAACAAAAAGATCGGAATATGCACACTGGAAGGGGCACA